CGTTTTGCTTGGGAAAACTTAGCTCTCGTAAAGCTCGGGAGCGGTTGTGTTACAGGAGGGGCCCGTCCTCTGGGCGCCACGTTCCCATGGTGGTGCTCCGAATGGATCACCACTCTGGGATACCAGGCGACCTCTCAGATGTAATTAGCCTTTTCCTTAAATAGAGGCTCTTTAAGGATTGACCTTCTTTTCCTCTTTTCTCGTGGGACCATAATGGATACTATAGAAATTAATAAAAATAAAACCACACACGCGAGCGTCGGAGAGACCTTTTTGGGGGATCACGATGCTGGCGATCAGGATGTGGAGACGACAGAGGGGACCGTGAGTCAGTCTCAAATATGGCTACTTCTGGGATCCACTGTATGCAGATTAGCTTGCATCATTGTAAAGGCGCTTCGGCGATTCTTGCCAGGAACTTTACAAGGATGCAGGCAGCTATAGCCTTTGTTCAAGAACCTTGGGTTTACAAGGGTAAGATTAGAGGTCTAAGTGGCTGTGGGGTGCTAGTTAGTTCACCACAGGAACCAGTTCCAAGGGTTTGCCTGATCTATAAAGGTCTAGACGCTTTCCCTCTATTAGAATTAACTACTAGGGACTTAGTTGTTGTTAAGGCTAAGTACTTGTAAAAGAACAGAAATAAAAGGGAGATTGTAGTAGCTTCCGCTTATTTTCCGGGATCGGGGGATGACCCCGCACCACCTAAAGAGGTAGAGAAGTTGGTAGATTACTGTCAACGGTAAAGTCTCCCTTTGATAATAGGCTGTGATGCCAATGCGCACCATGTCGTATGGGTCAGCACTGACATTAACGACAGAGGCAGAAGACTTTTAGATTTTATGGTAGATACGGATTTAGAAATTTTAAATCAGGGTAATGAGCCAACTTTCGTTACTGTTAACAGAAAAGAAGTGTTGGATATTACGATCTGTTCCAAGTCTGTGTGGAGTGGTGTGAGGGACTGGAGGGTGTCTGATGAAGATTCCCTCTCGAACCACAGACTTATTACATTCAGAATGTAATCGAAAGATCGGGAACATAAATGGGGACGTAATCCTAGGAGTACTGATTGGGCTTAATATATTGAGGACCTCAAGGCCTCCATGGAGTGCTTCCCCACCTCTTATGGAACATATGAAGAGTTGGAACTCGCAACGGAATATCTGCGAGATTCGATTATCTGATCTTTTGAAAGAAGCTGTGTAGCCAAAAAAGTGGACTCCAACAGGGTTAGTAAATGGTGGAACTTCTGTTTGGAGGGACATAGGCAAACAGAAAAAAAACTTTTCAATAAAGCCAAGAAACGCAAGAATCAGCAAGCATGGGATGAATATCATGACGCTCGTAATTCTTACAAGAAAGAGGTAGAGAAGGCACGGGGTATCAGCTGGGGGAGCTTTTGTCAGGGAATCGAAAGAGTACCAGAAACATTAAGACTCCATAAGGTACTAGCTAGAGACCCAATAGCCAAACTACCATTAAGTTACCTAATGGTCATTATGCCCAGGATAAAAGGGAGTGTCTAAAGTATTTGATGGAAGTAAACTTCCCGAACTTTGGAGAAAAGTTGGAGAATAACTATGGCGTGGGACCCAGAAGGGCCCGAGGAAATCGGGAACACTGGAAACTAGCAGCCAAAGTTGTAACTCCGGAAGAAATTGATTGGGCAATAGGCACTTTTAAACCATTTAAGGCCTCAGGGGGGCGGTATATATCCAGTTCTTTTGCAAAAGGGATTGGAATGTATTAGGCTACCCCTCTGTAAAATTATGAGAGCGTGTATAGCTCTTGGTTACACACCCGAGTCTTGTAAAAAGACGAGGGTTGTGTTTATTCCGAAGGCCGGTCGGTCAGGGTATACTGCTGCAAAGGACTTCAGACCAATCAGTCTAACTTCTTTTATATTAAAGGCGTTAAAGACTTAAAGAAACTGGTGGATAATTTTATCAGACAGGAATGTCTTAGGGATTATCCTCTACCCCAGGGACAACATTCTTATAGAGCAGGTTTCTCAGTAGAAACAGCTTTCCATTTTGCAGTTGGTAGAATAAAGGGAAAAATTAGTAGTGGTGGCTATGCGGTTGATACTTTTCTTGATATTGAAGGTGCCTTCCCTAACACCTCTCTTAAAGTTATCTGTAGGGCAGCCAGGAAGCGAGGTGGAGAAGTTCTCTCTCCTTTATTGTGGTGCTTAGTGGCAGATGAGTTAATTAGAAAGCTCAATAGCCAGGGATATTATACGCAAAGTTATGCGAACGATTTCCTTATAATTATAAGAGGGCACTCAATTGAGACCCTCTTAGAACTTACGGAACGTGCACTTAAGATTGTCAAGGATTGGTGCAATCTAACTGGACTTTCTGTAAACCCAGAGAAAACGTATATAGTAGTTTTCACAAGAAAATATAAGGTACCGAGAATGAAGAAACCGATATTTTATGGAAAAGAAATTTCTATTTCTGAATCGGCTAAGTACCTGGGAGTAATCCTGGATAAAAAGCTGATTTAGAAGGAACATTTCGAATATCAGTATAGAAGGTTCTGTACTGTTTTTTGGGCGTGCAGAAGGGCGATAGGGTCCTCGTGGGGACTAAGGCCTAATATGGTCAACTGGCTCTATCAGATGATTTTAAAACCAAGGTTTCTTCACGCGGTGGTTGTTTGGTGGTCTAGGAATCAACTGATAATCATATAGTTCTGCGGATTTTCGATAAAACTAAATACGAATTCGTTGTCAGATTTTCAAAATGGCGTATCTAATATGGCGGACGATTTTGGAAATCTGACATCGAATTCGTATTCAATTATACCGAAAATCCAAAGCACTATTTAAAATGTACATGTTTTAAGGTATATTTTTCTTTATTATCGAAATTTTGTCTTTTTCTACCCAGTTTTCGAAGAGATCTCCAAACTCAGAAAATAGAATGAAGGACTACTCAGAGACAAATGAAAATTTTTTAAATTTTCAAACTGGATTTTAAAAGGAAAGAGTAACGCTTTTAGATGTAATATTGACCTGTAGGAGAAAAAATTATCTCTCGATGTTACATGATGTCAAATATAGCTAAAAAACGGGGTTTTTGCACTTTTAGGTTAAGATATCTCGAAAACCTGTTTTTTAAAAATTTGAATCTTCTTCTCCCAGTAAGAAGTGTGGGATTAGTAAGAATTTGAAATTTTTAATTCTTTTGAATATCGTTTTAATATTTTAAGTGGAAAAAAAATTTGTCAGTCCGAAGATAGTTAAACCCTCAAGATTCATTGTCGGAGACAAACAGCTTGTCGGCTTAGCTGTTTAAACTGAACTATAACAACTGAATTTTAGAAGTACTTATCTTAAAGAGTTGCAAATTTTAAAGGAATTAAAATTACGAAATATTAAAACGGAATAGACAAATTCAATAACTTACAAAGTAACTTACACTACCGTCCGTGAGTATCAGGACGCCCCTTTTTTTATGAGTGGAAAAATTGTTAAAACGTAGAAAATAAGAATGCTAAAAATTTTTCTTATTTTTGTCCTAAAAGCTAATGAAATTATGAAAAGACTGACACCTGATCGAAGAATTTTCGTTGACTATTCTGTCAGATACAGACAAAATACTGGATTTTGCATGCTTTTCGTAATTTTTTAATTTCTCGAAAACTAATTAACTTTTATTAGCGCTCTTGGTCTTGTTTTAATCTCTATTTAATGTAAAATCTAAATTATCAATTGGTATTGTGAAATAAATTTTTCCAAAAAACTTTGAAACCGTAAAAGTAGGATTAAAAAAATTCAAAAAATTATCATGAATATTAAAGTGTCAAAAAGGTCAATGTAAAATATGATCATTTAATAGATATACTAAAATTTAAAAAAAGCTTTTTAATTACTTAATTATTTAATTAAAAAAAAATTTTTTTTTGAAAAAGTGTCAATCTGTTTTTCAAAATTTTTTTATCCCACTTTCACAGTTTCAAATTTTTTTGAAAAAATTTATATCACAATACCATTAATTAATTTAGATTCTATATTGAAATTCTTCGATCAGGTGTCAGTCTTTTCATAATTTCATTAGCTTTCAGGAAAAAAATACGAAAAATTTTTGTCATTCATATTTTCTACGTTTTAAGCATTTTTCCACTCATGAAAAAAGGGGCGTCCTGATACTCACGGACGGTAGTGTATACTTCAAAGTTTAATAACTATTCCTAAGTCAAATGCATTCATTAAACATTTATTTGAAATAAATATGAACAAAATATAAGTGAGCACAAAGATATGAGCATAAGATTCAAGATTAATTATATTCTCAAACTAGACAATTATTATACTAAACCCCCCTGGCAGATTAGGTTTTGCTATATGTCCACTTTTAAAGTGGATATAAGGTGGACACATCGGAAATATTAAAAAAAGTTATTTAGAAGGTGAAATATTGTGAAAAAATATGTTGAATATGTTAAATGGATATTCAGAAATGACGTCCTTTGCAACTTAAGTTTCAATCAAATTATAGAAGTTGAAAAAAGTAAAAATCGCTAATTATTTATACATTTCATTAAATGTATACGTACTTTATTCTAAAAAATTAATGCAGTTACATTTACTGTTAAATAATTATAATTTTGCCCCAGTCTACTCAACACTATATTTTCTGAATAAAATTTAAAAATAAATATTAAATCCGAATTTATAACTTAAAGTTTATCATTTTTTGAATATTGAAAATGTTTTAGGTTACATTTATAGTACATTGTTAAGAATTTAAGATTTCATGTTCAACTTTTCATACATTAATAAATAATGTGTGTATCTGGTTGGATGCGTATGCATGTATGCGTATTCCCTCTGTGTTACTCCCCAAAACTCTTTCCTTGCATCACGCAAAAACGCCTGAACCGATTCAGGATAAATTTTAATTCATGTATAAACCAAATTTTTAATTTATCTATATAAAAATTGAAGCCCATCAAAGGAGCAAACGGAGGATAGTAAAAAAATATAATTGTACCTTTACTAAGCCTTGTTGAAATAATAACTCAACAATTTCTTTTAAAATAGGCAAAATTCCACTGTGATGAATACCAATTCCATGTTCCAAAAGTTTTTGCATTCTTTGAACTTGAGGCAATTGTGCATCTGATCCTTTTAACCTTTTAATAGATTTTTTAAAGAAATTGGTTACGTTATTTTTTTCATCATTCGTAATCAATGACACATTTTGATGTTGCAAAGAATCCGCTGTTTTATCACAACGACTTCGAGAAAGTGCGAAAACAACAACTGGCAATTTATCCTAAACATATGAAAATACTTTGTAAAAATTAATGTAATTTAGAACCTAATTATAAACCCAAGCAGCACTTAATATTACTGTAACATTACATTGGATATTTATAATATTACAGAGATCTTATTTGGATATTAAAATGTCTGCTGCATTCATGGTAATAATACATGCAATGTGAGAAAGAGAAAATAAAAATGAAAAGCCATCGAAAATTCTTATTTTTTAAAACACAAAGTTCTCAGTTCACAATTATACTTTGATATTATACTTTAATATTTACTTGCAGCGGTCATTTTAATACGACAATAAGATCACTATAACTTAATATGACAGGTAATATTACGAATGTCCAATGTAATATTTCAGTGATATCAAAATAATTTTCTGTTGTGCTTGGGAATAACTACCAATTAATACTGCTAGGAATCTCTTTAAGCATAAAGAATAGACAACTCACCTGCTGTTGAAGGTATTTAAGAAATGCAATCCACATTGCTCGTTCTTTTGATGAAATCATCGAAGGTTTTATTTCTTCAGTTTCTTCATTTTCCTGGGATGACACATCTGTTTCAAGAGAAATTTTATTCTGTTTCTTAGTTTCCTTAAATTTTTTCATACCTTTTTTGTCTAAACTTTGTTTAAGTTCACGTTGTCGTTGCGCATTTGCCTGTCGCCATCTATAAATATAACATTCTTAAAGTGTAAATTTACAACTAAGTAATGAAAGATTTTAAAATAAGTTTTCAATGTCAACGCACCCTTCCATAGAAAATTGACCATCAGTATCAAGAATTAGATAACAACTGTCTTTTGTTTTCATATTGCTCCCTACATATAAATAATGTTGCAACGGTACTGGTCTTCTCACTGTACTGATCACATACATCTTTCTTTTTTTTATCTGACCAACCCAATTAGCAAATTTCAAAGGATTAGGTACTGTTGCAGACAGCATAACAATATTCACAGTCCGAGGTAGTAAAATAACTATTTCTTCCCAAACGTGTCCTCTCTGCAAGAAGTATCGATTATAATTATATTATAATTAGTTAACCCTTTTACACCAAGTAGTTTCAATCGAAAGCACTTTGCTTAAAAAAATCCATAACTTTTTGGCAAAAATTAACATATTCTTGTTTTCTAAACGGGACTGTACCACAAATTTATTTACCTTTCTGAAACAATTTTAAAGATTTATAAATTAATAGTAATTTGTTGTAAATAGTAATATTGTTGTAATAGTAAATGTTTTTGTAAGATTTAATACAACACTTCAGTCTTTAAAAGTACAAAATCTCTCAACCAATACGGCGGACGAAAATTTAAAACTTTGAGCTGAGCTCCTGAAAATAACTACTGAGAGGTTTTCGGGGTAACTGATTACACAGGCACACAAAAAATAAGCGTTGTTTGTTTATTGAACAACAACAGTGCCACGCAATAACTTTTGCCCACCCTTTAGTAAATAAAGTCTTTACAAAATGTTTTGTATATTGTTTATTACTAAAGTTACTACCCAGTAAGAAACGAAAAATTGAAAAGTATTAAAAAGATTCTATTCTTTTGAATGCCATTTCTGTCCAATACTTTTCTATCCAGTGAGAGCAATATAAATAGTAACGATATCAATCCTCTTGAATACCCAGTAAGAAAGCAAAGATTAAGAAGCATTAAAAAAATTCTATCCTTTTGAATACCATTTCTGCCCTATGCTTCTGAATTCCGCGACAGTAGTATAATAATATAATACTAATATTGTTGACATATAGAATGTTCAATTACTTTCAAATAACTGCACTCATGAATTTATTTGCTATTTTAAAAAGGAATAATTATTAAATTATCAGTTAAGAGGGTTAAAAGTGTTTAAAGGTCTCTGAAATTTTTAGGTTATGATTTATTGTCTAACAGAATAACGGCCCTGACTCGTTTAAATGACGTTAAATTGGTAAACAATCAATTTTTCAGCAAGTTTTTCTTTGAACACAAACACTTTTTACAAAATCTGCCACTGTATGTATCTTATAAATTACAAAAATCCAGAAGATTGCTTGAATGCATGCAGAAACGCGGTTCCAATGAAAAATTGAAAAGTGATATAATGACAGGCTGTAATAATTTCGGATGGGATAATTGGAAAGCATTCAGAAAAAAATTTTGTCTTTGTTAAAAATTACAAAAAGAATTGAATAGCATTCATTTTTAGACGAAACGTGGTCCTATCATGGTATAGAAAAGTATTGGACAGAAATGGCATTCAAAAGTATTGGATAATTTCTACTACACCATACAGAGTTTGAATTATTTCAATCCTTTTCAATTTTTCGTTTCTTACTGGGTAAGCTCGAATAAGTCTTGTTTCAAAGCTTATTTCTTGAGTTTCAACACCATGGAAAATAAAAATAAAAGAATATATTATTTAAATTTATCACTCGGTCGTCTTAGTTAAATTATAAAACTCAGTAGTTGTACGATCACTCCGAGTCAAGTTTGTAAGGTTATTTAGTATATAAGACATTTTTAAGAGGAAAATTGTAGAAACACTTGTATAGCCAAGATATGTAGGCTGAAGACGGGTGTATAATAGTACATTATTAATTAAAGAGGGTGAGAAGGGATGCAAAAGATGGGAAAGAGACAGAAGGAAAGCTTTGCAGGAAGGTAGAAATTATATGGGAAAAGGAAAGGATTTGTCAGAGGCGTGGAGTAAGAAGGATCGGGAGGAAAGGTGGAAAAGCATTACAGAGTCTAGATATAATAAGTGGTATAGAGTAGTGAAAGGGGAGGAAATGCTGAAATATTTGGGGTGGAGAAAAAAGAGTGAAAGGTGGAGTAGGATATGTAGATTTAGAATGGGTGAAGGAATGAGAGAATGTAAATACTGGATGGAAGAGGATGAATGGAAATGCAGAATATACGCGTATGAAAAGGAAGACTGGAAACATGGAGGAATGGCACGGTGGTCCTAAGCACACTTTAACCAAAAAGTCTCTTCACTTTGAAATTTGTTCCATATCTCGAATCTGGACACTTTTCTGAGTATTTTGAGTAAAAATTAAAAATATTTCATCGAGCCGTTTTTAACCCCTTCGCAGTCAAGACCAAAATCTCATAAGTGGGCTCAAAATGCCGACAACTTTTTAGAAAACTAAAATTTGCGCAAACGAGCATACTATTGTATTTGAAGTCGCTGTTTACGAATCCGATATCAGATTTTGAAAATTCAAAATGGCAGATCCAATATGGCGGACATAAAAATTAAAAATCGACTGAATTCACTTGAAACCGAGGGGTTCCTCACTCATGAAATAACGTAAAATTCTGGTTCAGGTCTTGTCATACTCTGTATCAACAAAACTACAATTATGTTAGATTTCGTCAGAGTCCGTCAAAGTCTGTCACTAAACGCGTGCGCAAGGAACCAAGTAAAACGCTCAACTTCGCATGATTTCGTAAAAATCTGTCAAGCAATGTTAAAATTAATCTAACGCAGTGGCGTAGCAATAGGCGGTTTGGGGGGTTAGATTTTCCGGGGTCCCGGCGAACTAGGGGCCCCAAAAATTATAAAATGGATTTTTTTTATAAGCAATGAAATAGTATATAATAAACTGTATGTTTATGTGAGTTTTAATGCTGCCTGCCCGCGCAGGCATTATGAAGTTGACCAGTTATGAATATATATTATATTATTATTTTTAGTTTACTTTAATTTACATACATATATTTGTTGTTCTTAGGTAATTAATTATTATAATGATGACAACAACAATTCACGCGCTGACGCGCGCGGTTAGCTTTTAGTTTACTATTTTTTATAAAACTAACAATTTTACAAATGAATTATATCTTTAACGCCCAAATGGACAAAATTTTGGCATGAAGTTTGAGAACTTATTTCGGTACTTAAAAATCAATAGAAAAATTCACGAATCATCATTTCTTATGTTTTCATATGCGCTCTATCGAATGGCGTTAAAAAAAACAATTCTAAATATTACAAATAACGTGACATAGATATATAACCTAGAAGATAAGACTATAGAGAAAATTAAAAATTAAAATGGCAGCTCAAAAATGGAGTTTAAAGTTCAATTTTTTTTCAAAATTTGATTCGAAAGTACGAAATTGTTAAAAGTGTTTAGATCAGCTTGAAATTTGTTACTCGGGGGTTTTAGGGGTCGCTGATCACGAATCTGAAGTCCAATTTTAAAAATTCAAAAGGCGGATCCAATATGGCGGATAATTTTTTTAAAAACTCTTTAAATTGGCTTGAAACTTGTTACTCGGGGGTTTTTGGGGTCGCTGATCACGAATATGAAATCCAATTTTAAAAATTCAAAATGGCGGATCCAATATGGCGGACAATTTTTCTAAAAAATCATTAGATTCGCTTGAAACTTTTTACTGGGGGGTTTTTAGGGTCGCTGATCACGAATCTGAAGTCCAATTTTAAAAATTCAAAATGGAGGTTCCGATATCGCGGACAATTTTTCTAAAAAATCATTAGATTCGCTTGAAACTTGTTACTTAAGGGTTTTTTGTGTCGCTGATTAGGAATGTAATGTCCAATTTTTAAAATTGAACATGGCCGCTCCAATATGACAGTCGAATTTTTTAGTTGAAATTCGATAATCACGTTCTTTAGCCATTAAAATACTTAAAATATTTTTAATGTTTTCCAACTTTCACCACGTGGAGGTAAACGTGAACTGGAAAGTCTCTTTTTTTATTTTTAAATTTTATATTTTTTTACTTTTTTATTTTTTTCTTTTTTTATTTTTTATGTATTTTTCTTCTTTTTATATGTTATTATAATTTTTGAATTTAAAGGTCAAAAAATCGAAATGTATATGTTTTATTTTAATCATTACTTATATTTCAAGGTCAGGTTGAAAAAACCAATTGAGCCGCCGGATCGTAGATCGTTTTGATCTAAAATTTTTTTTTTTTTTTTTTTTTTTTTTTTGATCTATCGTTTTGATCGTTTTCTCGGCCGAAATCAAAGTCCCCTGGACATCCAAAATTCGACTTTTGAATTTAAATATTTCATGTACATATCCTTATAGGAAATTTCATTGCGCATCTTTTTTTCTTATGAACTTTTTTTCTATCTATTACCGTTTTCGAAATAATTGGGAAAAACTGTTTTTTTGAAAACTTAAAATTTAATGACATTTTTCACTTCAACTCGCGATATTTCCGACAATTTTAAACATTTTTCAATAAAACAAAAAGGAAAATATGCGTTAAGGTATCCTACGAATGATAAAAAAAAAAAAAAAAGGTTTTGTTATTTAACAAAATTGTTATTAATTTTTTTCTGCACTATTGTAAAAATCATGAACTACAATCTTCACGGCTCTCGTTTAACGGGCGAATTTTAAGCAAGAGAAAACTTCCAGTGAGAAAGTTGTTCATTAATGTCCAAAAAAGTTTTCTGGAAAATTATAGTGCAAATAATTAATTAGTGTTAAAGTGGTGAATGTTTAAAGTTGCTAGCGGCCGGCCGTTCAGCGCGCGTCAACTCGCCGTAAGTGTTCGGGAGTGCTGCTTTATATTTTTCTATAGAAAAATTATTTATTTTTTTGGGTTTTTCTATTTTATACTTATATTTAATTAATAAATAATTGAATAACAAAAAATAAAATAAAAAAATAAATAATAAATAAATAAAAAAAATTAAAATAAAAATAAATAAAAAAATAAACAAATTATTTCATTTTATAATATTTATATATTAATGAAATATAATTTTATTATTTAATATACATTTTCTTTGTACATATAGCTTGTGTAAAACTAAATCAACATAGCTTATTTAAATTATCTTTAAAAATAAATAAACAGTAAAACTAAAAAAAATTTTTTTTCTGAATCGTTTTCCGAATCGCTGCTTTCCCCTTCTGCTGTTGAGGTGTTAAAATGGGAAAAATAATTTTCATAAAATTCACGTCCTTCAGAACTTAGATACTTCAGTAAACTTTGCAGATCTTTTATTTTTGGTGCCTTAAG